TTTTACACACATGTGAGTTACATCCTTATATACACGCATATTTTTTTCAGAATTTTTTGGATCATAAAAAATTATTTTTTTTCAAAAATAAAAACCTCCATAGAGCTCGGCCTCCAAAACGCCTTTCTCGAAAATGTGTTCAAACAAGATCGCATCAAGGACGCATGCTCATAGTTAAGATCCAACGCGAGAGGAGCGTGCCTTCCGTTTGTCTCAGCAGTGTATTTTATATTTAGTTTCTCATGGAAATGTATAACTGCGCTCGAGACTTGAGTTAGAGTGTCTAAGTCCGGATGCCTCAATCTCTCCTTAGATGTCTGGGTGGACCGCTCGATCACTGACCGGTCACGTTTTTTAACCAGACGGACGCCTTAAACGGGTATCAAATGTCCGGGCTGACCGACACCCCTCATATCCAGTCTAAATATGGGACGGATAGGGGGTGCCCGGGTACACCCGTCATGTCGGACCTGGTCCATGCTGGCCCATCCGACCCACATATATTCGTCCCCATCCGCTCGTCGGAGCAAACCCTAGCCACTTTACTCCCCTCCCCTCCGTCAACCGAGCTCACCTCCGGCGGTTCTCGGCCTTCTTCGGCATTGCCAGGCAGAGGATCGGACTCCGACCACTCCGGATCCCTCGACTGGGGTGTCATCCCGTATAGGTTGGAAGAGGCAATGGCAGTCCGCATTGCACTTCATCGCAACCAGGAGGACAACGCCCGATCAATGGACGGACGGATCCGTTCGCCGCGATGCCATAGTGTCGGCTCACCGGGCGCTCGGGTCTTGTGGTGCTGGATCCTCGCGGCCCGGGCAGCGGGAACACCTCTCCTTCCCCATCACCAGTCGGGCAGACCATGAGTCCCACCGGAAACAGGCGGCCCGCTGTGGGAAGGAGAGGATAAGGATAGCCGAGGCCCGTATTGCGGTGGAAATGGCGGTGGCGGAGGAGGCTGATGCAGCGGTGCACGCGACCGCAAAGGAGGAAGCCATCCGCGCCCGCATTATGAAGAAACGGCTGCAGAGGAACATTCATGCCTCGCCCGAGAGCAGAATCGGGCGGTTCGTGCCATGGCTAGACTGCCACTGAAAGAGGAGAAGGAGGACAACGACGACGAGGACAGCTCCGGCGACGAGCACAAGCAGATCTGGCTCGATCCGTACTGCGTTTTCGACCGGTACTTCCGCGAGAAGGATGACAAGGGCGCCGGGAAGGGCAAGGCAGCCATGGATGAACTCCATTATAGTCAAATATGCCAAATTTTGGTAGTCCGATGACATGTTTAGTTAGTTATGATGGAGTAGCCGGACGATATGTGTGCATCGACATAATTGCATGAGTCTGTATGGATTTGATATATGATAATTGAGGTGTCCGAATGCAGATTATATTATTTGAGGGGTGTCCAGCCAGTGCCCGCGGACGCGTCCGGTGTTTGAGGTGCCGGATTTGCCAAGTCCAGCTGTACATGCTCTTAGTCACTTTTCTCTAATGCCACTGGTCTCCGGAATTTTCTCCAGCACGTGATTTATAGCTGAATACGTACTCTGCCTGATTTCGATGCGTCGGCAGAATTCTACAACATTTTTTTTAGGATCACTTAAAGCTTTATTGACCAAGTGTAGCTGGGAGTATCATCTGATACAAACTGCAGGATCCCAAAAGAATACGTACAATCATTGCACCAAGACAACAGCTTTAATAAGGCAAACTTGGCTAGATTCATTGCTTCTTCTACTCTTTGCACCAAGACAAGGAAAGAAGACGATGCCCTAAGGAGTACAATCATTCGAGACTTGACTTGAGCCCAAAAGATTCTTTTCTTGATAGTGACATGAATGACCGATTAGGTGACTTTTGGCCCTGCAAGGTTGTCGTCAACCCATGCTACTTCACGGGCTAGTACTATATAGGACCAGAAAATTTATAGTACCATCCTCATTTTCAATAAGAATAATATATGGTGCTTCATACATAAAGGTTAGACGAATGGAAATATTGATTGGTCTTTATGAAAATAATGATAAGGATATAAGCTAAACAATTTCGTTGAAATGTAGTCATGTTTTCCTATATTAGTAAAATGTGCCTTCCAGAGTCCCTTCCCATTTCTGGAAAGACAACCATTTTCATTTCGAGATAGTCACTGGTTTGAACTAAAAAGTTATATCCATGCATGTTACGTGGAAATATCAACACAAATCTTTGAGCACTCTCGTGGTATTAGGATTTGGGAAATCCACACGCGGTGGAGTTGTACTTCCATGCTTGATCGTGAGAAAATGCTGCATATAATTTCAGCAAATATTCCTTTGCACTAAATAACAATTATTTATACAAAAGAATACTTAATTTTATTGTTTCTGGCCAAGTTCTTGACGATCGTGATTGTAAGGCGATGTGTCGTTGTTGTTGTGCTATCTGCTGGTTTCAACTTTCACAACCAATAATTTAATATGGATTTCTTGTGTTTTGCCAAAAGAAAAGTTTTAGAAATACTGGTATAAGACATAGCATGAGTACGTTAATTAGAAGGGATACATTTTGTACCATCAGAACGTGGTAGAAAAAAAAAGAATGTGGTAGCAAAAATAGAATACAGACTAAATTAATTGCTTAGCCTTAAATGGTAGATAAGACACACACTGTCATGGATTTTCTTCAAGGTTTGTCATGCTTAGCTTAGTATGATATATGTATGCTTTGAGTCGCATCACATTTTGTGAAAAGATAATCACTATAGTTATTTACAAATAGAAGTTGTCGAGGTAACGATTTCAAAATTACCTGCCTTTATTGCATCAAGGCCGTGTGTGTATAGTTGGTCCACCAAGCTAAGCTAGCTAACCTGAATCATTTTCATCCCCGCAAAAGACAAACTTGAATACTTTTTTATGCCCTTCGTAGCTTTGATTATTGACTGTATCATCATAGAGACAATGTGAAAGAGTTTTTAAAAAGTACTGACTATTTAATTGCTTTCTTGCAGAACATAGGTGTCTAACTGCACAAAAAGAGTTCTTTTATCGAACAACATCAAGTACAGCCTGTAGTTTCTACTTACATCAAGTATAACCTGTAGTTTCTTCATCGTCCGGTATGTTATTGGCAGTGTACAACAACAATATTCAGAGATGAGGTTATTGTCTGTAGTTTAGAACGTACATATCATTTGGTGCTTCACACACATGCAGATCTCGGCATTTCCCTGTCTCGACCATGGCTACGTGGCACCAGGGTGATGTGAACGATGTGAGGTATGCATGCACCACGGTAATGGGAGCTCGGCCATGCACCGGCTCCAACCCTGGCCCGATTGGACGCCAACCCGCCCATCCTGCTCTCGATCCCGGCGAGCCACTGCCCGCTGTTGGCCGTGGTGGTGCCCTGGTCGCTGCGGTCACTGAGCAGGGCAAGGATTGAACCGTAGGAATGGGTGGAGAATTGGGGAAGCGAAGCTGAAGAGGCAGGCGAATGAAGAAATAAAATGAGAGAGGAGGAAAGGAGCGAGCCCAGTGACATCACCAACGGGCTCTTGGTTAATCTTTTTTTAGGGGGTGGGACTCGTCCTCACCTGTGCCGTGGCCTCCGCGTGCGCAGCTTCCATACGTCGTCTCTCCTGCGTGCGGGGAGACGGAGGACCGCCGCCGGGAGGTGAGAAGGGGGTTACTGGTGGGGCTCCGAAGAGGCCAGGTCTAGTGGCGAGGTCCTGTGGCGCCGGCGGCCGCCTCTCGATCTCATGGCGAGAAGGAAATCACGTTATTTATATAGAAAGATATCTCTCTGAAAAGAACGGAATAGTGGTGGTCCGCCTATCAGAATCCACGAACTAATCGTTCGAGAGAAGTCGGGATACGTGGGGAGATTGGAAGGGGGTGGAACGATCAAAATTCACGAACTAAGCGTTAATTTCAAAGAAATCGGGATACGTGCAGAGATTGGAAGAGGGTGGAACGACTGGATGCAGGTTCCTGAAGAATCGCTTTGAGCGGTGAAAAATCGAAGCACCGGGTCAAAGCGGTGACCGATCGTAGTATAGTCATAAAACGTGCAAAACGGTCAGCGAGATAAAAAGAAGGAACGACCAGAGATTGCCCATCACACGCGTCATGCTCTCAATAGCAGTAAAAAAAAGTTCAAAAAAACCAGGAAAAAGAATCTCTTACGGGCATAGTATTCAGGTTATTATATGGAGTACGTACTTCACAAGCGAGGGATCCAAGTGGCTTCCTTTCTCCTCTCTTCAGTCTTCACGCCCGGCTTCTCCTCCTCGATGATTCAAGCTCTCCTGCTCCTCGCGCTAATTCCGCTCGCCGCAGCACAGGCGTGGCCAAACTGCTTCGCAGGCCACGGCAACTACTCGGCAGGCAGCACATACGAGAACAACCTCCTAGATCTCCTCCGCACCCTCCGGCAGAACGCCTCCTCCTCGCCCGCCCTATTCGCCTCCGGTACCCTAGGCGCCGCGCCGGACACTGCCTGGGCCCTCGTTCTCTGCCGCGTCGACGTCAGCGCCTCCGACTGCTACGACTGCGTCACCTCCCCCGGTCAGGACGCGGCCACAGCCTGCAACCGCAGCAGGGACGTTGGCCTCAGCTACGACCAGTGCTACGTCCGCCTAGCCAACCACAACGACTTCCTCGACCCCAACGGCAACTCCGGCGAGGTAAATCACTTTAGTGATCTCAAAATCACAAGCAACGACGTCGACGGCTACAACCGCGCGGTCACCGGCCTTCTGAGCGCCACGGTGCAGTATGCCGTGGAAAACTCCACCAGGCTGTTCGCCACGGGGCAATGGGTAGGGCCCGACCCGGGGTTCAGCAATATCTACTCGGCGGCGCAGTGCGCGGCGGATCTGTCGCCGATGCAGTGCCGAAGCTGCCTCCAGGGCCTTGTGGGCAAGTGGTGGTCCACCTTCTCGCGGGACGTGATGGCCGCGAGGCTGGCTGGTCCGCGGTGTACCTTGAGGTCCGAATTGGACCAGTTCTACAATGGCGACGCGATGCTCCTGTTGCCGACCAAGGTGGCCGCACCGGCGCCACCAGCTCCAGCACCGACGGCTGCTACTAGAGGTCAGTTGGCTTGGCTACCAACCCCAGCAAGAGTTTAAGCGTTCAAAAAACAATTTAGCAAAATAGAAAGACTTTAAAAAGAAACAATTGAACTCAACAGCTCGCTAAGCCTTGTAAACAACTCCATTTTCATAATGAAAATGGGGGCCGTGTGGCCCCTTCGATCGAAAAAAATTATATTCCAAAGATATGGTACTTTTTATGTTAATTAGGTACCACAATTAGCAAATTAATGGACGTTTTTCATTTCATAAAATAAGTTATGTAGAATTTCTACCTCTTCTTATGCACTGCATGTTGGACACATAATTTCATCTCAAGACCAGCACCAACGGCTGCTACGACGGGCCAGTTGGCTACCAACCCCAAGAGTACAGTACCACTTTTTGTGTGTGTGTGTGGGTGAGTAGAATGCCCTTGCAGGCTTGCAGCACTGGTGAGTGGTGACTCGTCGCGCCTGTAAGAAGTGGTGCTCTTGGTCAGAAGCACGGAACCTCGGCCAAAGGTAGGGAGCAATGGCGACCACAGGGAGATCCGGTGGAGCACGGAACCTCGGCCAAAGGTAGAAGAAGCAATATCGAGCCAGCCACGAGTCCGACTTCAATGGCGGCGACGGACAGTGAGTTGGAGCCTCGGAGGCATATACGAGGCGCGTTGGGACGTCGAGCTCGTGATTTTTGGAAGGACTAAAGTTTCAATGTGATTTTGTGAACTAACCCACTGCAAAATCCCTCAATTGTCATCGTGTGCTCGGCTCAACTAATTTGGACCGCTATCACATCACTTATGCAACATGATATACTGAATTGTGAGTGTTCTAACTTGATGTATGGAACTGAACTTTCATGACAACTTTATGTACAAAGAGCATCTACGGCCGCGGACACGAAATCCGGGCACTCAAACGCCCGTGCACGTGCTCAGACGCGTCAACATTACTCTTCTGCGGACGCATACCTCATATTTGAAACCATACAAAGCATGCAGACGAGGAAATCCTACGTAGATCAACTTATACTACCCTAATCCTCGTCGGAGATGTCCACTACCTCCATGCACAACTCCAGGTACATGGGCGGCAACCGTAACTCCAGCTCACGTGGTTGCTCTTCCTCGTCCTCCGCCTCCACCTCCACGTCAAGTTCGGCGAGAAGTGCGTCGGTCGCTTCCTGTTCCTGCCGGATGAACTGCCGGTTGGCCTCAACACAAGCCTCATCCTGGATGGACTCCAGAATGGCCTGCTGCTCCGCCATCTCCGCCGCTTGGTCGACCACGCACTCTGCCATGCCGAAGCCCGCAACCGGTGCCAGCTCATCCTCCGGCTACTCCACCTCGTCTTCCTCTAGATTCGCTGCCTCCATTGGAACATGTTGCTGCTCCGGCTCCTCCTCCTCCTGCTCCTCCGGCTCCGGTAAGTCTGGAGGCAGGCCGGCTGTGATGCGGGTGGTGCGCCTCGCCCGAATTTCCTTCTCAATCTGAAACTGGTGCTCCAGCGTGCGCATAGCATATGTTGTCTTCTTCTGATGGAGCATGGCGAGGTTGGACAACGTGGGAAGAGCTGAACGGGAGAGAGGTGGATGGGCTCTGGCTGGCAGTGCAGAGAGGGAGGAGGTGCATGTGGCTAGGGTTGGGGGACGCTGACCGGCTTAAATAGCCGGACATTGGCCTCATGCGAGTCGGAGTGGCACCAAGTGGCATTCACACCCCCAACAGAGGAGACGCCGTCGGACTATTGGGTTGTCGGGCGATTTCGTGTGGGACCCAGCCATCAGTCCGACGTGGCAGACACGCCCGGTCGCGCCTCGGCCTCCCCATATCCGCCCCATATTTGGGCTGGATATGGGGGGTGCCGTTCAACCTGGACGTTTGAGGACCGTCAGAGATGACCGTCTGTGTCGGTTTATTGTGACCGGTCAGTGACCGGGCCGCCCATCCGGGATTTTGTGGGGGGTTTGGGGTGCCCGGCTGCAGATGCTCTAAGTACCAACAGTGTACTTTACTCAATTTTAAAAGAGATATTTCTGAAATGACCCCTCTAGCTGCAGCTTGCTCCTTGATCTATCCAACTAACTATAGGCTTATGAGTTATAGAAAAAGCCTCATAAAGTTAGAACCGCAAAAAAGAACAGTTACAGAAGAAGCATTAACAAATAAAATAAGCCTATAGAGAATAAAAAAGTACAGTGCTTCAAGTAAAGTATTTACAGTTTGAATTTGTCCTTATGCAACCACATTTTTATTTCTCAATGTGCAAACTGTACAAGGTTTTGAAGCTTCATGATAGATAATATTTCTTTTGTGAATGTCAGCAAATTGTTTCTGAAACTTTCATCTCCTTTTGGATGCTCATTCAAACTTTTTCACAGATTGCATGCCATGGGCTATTTTTATACTAGCTGCTCCACATACAACTTTTTGTGGAACCAAATCCTCACTCCGTTCTGCAGGTTCTCGATTTGTCATTGCGGCAGTTGTGGGAGCTTTGTTAGCAGGTTTGTCTTGGCACATCTATAGTTCAAGGAGACGACATAAAACACAAGGTATTATATAACATTTAGTTGAATTGTTATGGGCGACAAATTGACGAAGCTTCACAACTTAAATCTGATCAAATATCTTTTATTGTCTGTGTTTTTAGAGGAGTATGTAAAGCCTACAGGCCAGATTCAAGCGACCACAACACCCGACACCTCCAATGCAACCACAAGTAAATTATTCTCTCTATTATTGCATATTGTTAGACGTTCACAACTTCATATGGACCCCCCCCCCCACACACACACACACAATACATGCATCATTTTGTTTTCTAGAACCACGCTTGGATGGCACTTTTTATTCAAGGAGCTATTTTCGGGACATATACAATATCATACTTTTCTTCGTCTTTCAGAAAAAGAAAATGGTCAAGAAGGTGATTCAACGGTGTATGTTCCAAGGCATTCCCCTCTTTTCGATAAAGAGTGATTTTTATTGACTTATAATGTAGCATTAAGGGAATACATACATGACAATGCTCAATCTAATTTCTTTCGAGATATGTTAGTACTAACTTTTTCATAGTGATACCATCTATTAATTAATCATCATCAATCTCCTTGCTAATCTAACTAGTACAAGTACATGATATTGCTCAATCCAATTTCATTCGTGATATATTCCTAAGAAAACATTACAGTCTTTTATGTGAAGAATCTCATTAATACATACCCATTCTCAACTATCTCACTTGATCCGCCCATTATAGATCTAGGAATATAACATTCACCATGTACAATGGACATATGCTCGAGTGTTTCCATCATGTATATTAAACTTGCTATAATATTATTTTGTAAGTTGATGCATATGTTGTTTGTTTTACACACGTGTTTTGAGGGTGTTTAATCCGTACCTTGAAGCAGCGACAGTGTCATGGCTAGCAAATTGCAAAATACAACAAGTCTAACGGTCCGAGTATTACAAGAAATCACGGATAATTTCTCTGAGAAGAGAAAAATTGGTCAAGGTGCATATGGAAAGGTCTATCTGGTAAGATTCTGAATACACAATATGCTTGGTTACTATATACATATATTTGCAACATAGTTTGGAGTACTTTGTCAAAATAGGAATGCAAACACCAATCTAACTGCTCGATTTTACATGAATTCCATAACCGCGCTGAATCTAGACCCCCCCTTGCTTCGATAAACTGGCCCAATCGATATGGCAGTTTAGATCTCCAAGTACTGGAAAAAACCAAGATAGCGTCTAGGACTTTGGACTACTCAGCAAGAGTGGTGCATGTTCACACCTAGACCAAATCGGCTTCCTCAACTTAGATGCATTGTGAACCAACTTTTTTATGATCTTATGAACTACAAGCATTCTCTTTGTTGTGATGTTTCTTTTGTAGAGTTTATATGCCGGTTGGTTGTTCCTATGTGGGATTGTTCCTATGTGGGACTGTTCGTGTCATTGTTGTCGTGATTTTGGGGGGGTGGCCATAGTGCAACATCCGTCTGAATGCTAGTTGATTATATAAAGTTAAAGAATAAAGTATTAAAACTCTAAACTATGAAAAAAATTTGGAATGATAAATTACAACAGTGGATCTCGATTGCCTAGAAAAGAAACAAATCACAAGTAGAAACAACAAATAAGCTTATCAATTGAATTATATGGTTTGGATTTAAACTTACTTGGCATTGTGTTGTACTACCGTTTATGATCCAGCCACCAACAAATAACTTGGACTAGAGTGAATCACTCCCAGAAACTGGGAGATCACAGTAATTGAATTCCCAATTGAATAACCTTAAACTAAAACCCTAGCCATAAAGTCTAGGAAGCAAGAATTAGACAACATAGATACATGCATTTGAGAGAGATTAGCGACTTGCCGTACATTCGCAAGTGGCCGAGAAGATGAGGCTGACACCACAATGGACAAGTGCAAGAGGCGAGGATATATCTATTAGATCAATCATTCGATTGGTCTGCGTACGCATCGCTCGCCGCATGGGCCTAGATAGGCCGCACCTGCCACCCGTGTGCATGTGGACGTCATGAAGTAGCTAATTATGCGACTCTCCTCTTGCAGAATTGTGTACCCGAGAGAACATTAGTAGTATGTGGCCAGGAATGCATGATTTGCCTTCTTTATTTTTGTTTTATGTTGTTTAGAATAAGTAAAGTATAATTGTGTGCAACTTGTTAACGATGATGAATAAAGGTGCTTATAATAGATTTTTAATAGGCAGAGCTTGAAAATGGAGAAGAAATTGCTGTGAAGGTCCTTTACAATAACATGCCAGAGATTGATGATGTAAAATTCCAACATGAGTTCGAAAACCTTATGAGGCTCGAGCATCACAACATTGTAAGGTTAGTTGCCTATTGCTATGAAACACAACATCAACCTATGCAGTATATGGGAAGAACATTTTTTGCTGAAAGGACATACAGAGCACTCTGCTTTGAGTATATGCAAAATGGAAGCCTTGAAAAACACCTTTCTGGTATGATTTTGCTCCACTTCTTCTTCTCTTTTACTTCAAGGATATGATGCTCTATTTGCTTTATTGATTTATGTTTCTTACCGCGTGAATAAAAATGATTGTGTATATTTGGATTTCATTGATGCGTTATTTTTAAATTGTAGATGAAGGTGATGGACTTGACTGGCATACACGTTACAAAATTATCAAGGGGGTATGGAAGGGTTTAAAGCACCTTCATGAAGGATTTGATAAACCAATTTACCATTTAGACCTAAAGCCTGGTAATATATTGTTAGACAAGAACATGGTGCCAAAGCTTGCGGACTTTGGTTTGTCCAAGCTCTTCAGTGATAAACAAACCATGATCACACAAACTCCTATAGGAACAATGTAACTTTCTTAATGCGCCCTTCGTTAATAAATTCCTTTCATATACACATAACATGTTCAATTACTAGATATTAATATAGTATAAATTTTGATATGCAGTGGATACGTGCCGATGGAATTCTTACATGGAAACATAGTCTCAAACAAGTTTGACATATTCAGCTTGGGTGTCGTAATGATAAAAATAATTGCAGGCCATGGAGGCCATTCCAGAAGTGCCAAGATGCCTCTTTGTGAGTTTTTTGATTTGGTAAGAAATGCTATTTTTCACTTATAATAGTTTAATGTTATTCTTAGATTTTTTTATGCTATGTTTTACTTTGGTATTCACCACTCACTCATTTTCAAAAATATAGGGCGTATCCTTTGAATCACTACTTACATGTGTTTTCTTTCCTCTGTGCTCTAATCGGTATCCAACTAATGTACTTGGTACATATTCCCGTCCATGCATTGAGTACTAAATTATGGTGATTCTGGGTAGTATATGCATCATCAGTGCATTGTTGATCAATATGTAAAATGCATATTATTGTTTCAAATGGAGAGTCAAATCCTTCCAAATCCTTGTTTAATTTACATAGGTACAAGAAAAGTGGAGGGAGAGGATGCTAGAAACATGTCAAGCTTCGAGGCTACTGGAAGCATACTGCAAACAAGTTAATGTATGCACTAAGATTGCACTGAGTTGCATGGATATTGATAGACACAAAAGGCCAAATATAGCGGATATCATCAATCAATTGAATGACACCGAAGCTGCAATTAACATGGTAATTCAGATCATTAGTGCCATATTTGCTTTTCTCACAAAAAATCTAGTGGCGGATCCAAGAGTGTATGATATAAGGGTACCACATTTTACATGCAAAATTCTATTATCACCACGAATATCACAAACTTAACACATGAATTCAGAATATTTCAAAATTACAATACAAATAGTTTAAAATGCTCTCAACATCACCGTACTTGAAACTATCCCTCAAGTTGTTAGACATAAGGGTATGGTATGACATATTCATTCACATTTGAAGACGCATAATAGAACATTCGCTCAGAAAGGGACTCACTATGATGTCACATGTGTAAGAGGTACACAATGTAATATTGAATCAAAGCTTGAATTTAAGAAGCATTCTTTCTTTTCATCCTACCAGTTATCATACCTGTGCTCCCTAATGAAATTAAATCTAGTATATCATACACCTGCATCATGCAATGTAATGTACGTTTTGTATCAACATATCGCCCATAACCTGAATTAGCCACCAACTAGATGATCTAAAAACGATATAATATGGACATGGATGTTGTTCCTTCGCAGGCGTTGTCATTGAGCATAAAAACAAGTAGGCCATGATTGTGGTCGTCAACAAGCTTGGTCCAAACTTCATCGTTAAGCTCAAACTCGCCGAGGGAACGAGGAAGCTTGCCACCATCGACGACCTGTACTGGAGCCTCAATGTGAGCAAGCATCTGCTGGCCGGCATGACCGTATTCGTCCTGAGCATTGTTAAGCTCAAACTCGCCGAGGGCACCAGGAAGCTTGTCACCATCGATGGCCTGTACTGTGAGCAAGCATCTGCTGGCCGGCATGACCGTATTTGTCCTGAGACCACAACCAGGTTGCTCTGTCAGGGCAAACCAGGACACAGACACACACGAGGTGGACACACAAACACGATGAAACCCTAAGAACTTCAAAGAACTCGGGGAAGGAGACACTCACACGAACACACTACATTTTGCGACACATAAACTTTGTGTATTTTCCTCCTTTCTTCCTTTTATTCAACTGAGTAAAATATTCTATCCATCCTAAAATATTCTTTTTCTAATCATCCTTCACCTGTTGAAATACCGCCTCAAGATAGGCTACGAGCGATATAAAATATTCAACTTGACGTTGCAACAGATCTTTGGAGTCTGAAATGATGCAAGCAAGGTAAAAGCTAAATTTTATATTGATAACCCACAAGTATAGGGGATTAATTGTAGCCTCTTTCGATAAGTAAGAGCGTCGAACCCAACGAGGAGCTAAAGGTAGAACAAATATTCCCTCAAGTTCTATCGAGCACCGATACAACTCTACACACGTTTGATGTTTGCTTTACCTAAAACAAGTATGAAACTATTTTGCGAGAATAAAAATAAGAATAAATTGCAAGGTAATAAAAGTAGGTAGCTTTTGTCAACAAGAAAGTCATTTGTCCCTAGGCAATCGATAATAAGTACCGGTAATCATTCTTGTAATTTTATATGAGGGAGAGGCATGAGCTAACATACTTTCTCTACTTGGATCATATGCACTTATGATTGGAACTCTAGCAAGCATCCGCAACTACTAAAGATCATTAAGGTTGTGAAACCCAACCATAGCATTAAGTATCAAGTCCTCTTTACTCCCATACGTCACCCCCACCTACTCGGGTTTAAGTTTCTGTCACTCTCGCAACCCACCGTAAGCGAACCATGAACATATTGCAACACCCTATAACGGGGGCCCCTCACATTTGCGCGAGACGGAGGGCACCGTAGGACAGCACCATAAATAAAATATACAATCATACCAACCAAGATCATGATTAACCCATAGGACAAGACGGATCTACTCAAACATCATAGGATAACCATAGATGATTGGGAAATAATATATGGAGTTGAGCACCATGTTTATGTAGAGATTACAGCGGGGGGAAGAGGTGTTACACCGCTGCATAGAGGGAAACAAAGTTGGTGTTGACGGTAGAAAGGTTGTTGATGTAGATCGTTGTCACGATCCTAGACCCGGCGGTGTTCCGGCGCCATCAGTAGAGAGGGGGAGAGAGCCCCCCTCCTCCTTCTTCTTCTTCCTTGGCCTCCCCCTAGATGCGAGGAGGGTTCCCCCTCTGGTCCATGGCCTCATGGCGGTGGAGGGGCGGGAACCCCTCCGAGATTGGATCTCCCTCTCTGTCCTCTTCTGTTTCGCACTCCCCAGATCTGGCTGGAAACTATTTCTTATATTTCCGGAGATCCGTAACATGGGCACAACCCACCATGCCACGCTTGGCTCCTCTGGCGTGCCCTGGTGGGTTATGCCCACCACGGGCCTCCATTTGCGATGATTCCAACTCCCAAAAATCACAAATATTCCAAAATAATTCTCAATGGAGTTGCGTCACGTTTGGACTTTGTTTGTGATACGTCTCCAACGTATCTATAATTTTTGATTGCTCCATGCTACTTTATCTACTATTTTGGACTATATTGGGCTTTATTTTCCACTTTTATATTACTTTTGGGACTAACCTATTAACCAGAGGCCCAGCCCAGAATTGCTGTTTTTTGCCTATTTTAGTGTTTTGAAGAAACGGAATATCAAACGGAGTCCAAAGGGAATGAAACCTTGGGGAACGTGATCTTCTCACCGAACGTGATCCAGGAGACTTGGACCCTACTCCAAGAAGTGCCAGAGGCGGTCACGAGGGTGGAGGGCGCCCCCCTGGGCGCGCTCCCCTACCTCGTGGGCCCCCTGACGCTCCACCGACGTACTCCTTCCTCCTATATATACCTACGTATCCCCAAATGATCAGAAGGGGAGCCAAAAACCTAATTCCACCACCGTACCTTCCTGTATCCACGAGATCCCATCTTGGGGCCTGTTCCGGAGCTCCGCCGGAGGGGGCATCCACCATGGAGGGCTTCTACATCAACACCATAGCCCCTCCGATGAAGTGTGAGTAGTTTACTTCAGACCTTCGGGTCCATAGCTAGTAGCTAGATGGCTTCTTCTATCTTTTTGGATCTCAATACAATGTTCTCCCCCTCTCTCGTGGAGATCTATTCGATGTAATCTTCTTTTTGCGGTGTGTTTGTTGAGACTGATGAATTGTGGGTTTATGATCCAGCTTATCTATGGATAATATTTGAATCTTCTCTGAATTCTTTTATGTATGATTGAGTTATCTTTGCAAGTCTCTTCGAATTATCCGTTTGGTTTGGCCAACTAGATTGGTAGTTCTTGCAATGGGAGAAGTGCTTAGCTTTGGGTTCAATCTTGCGGTGTCCTTACCTAGTGACAGAAAGGGTTGCAAGGCACGTATTGTATTGTTGCCATCGAGGATAACAGTATTTATCATATTGCATGAATTTATTCATCTACATCATGTCATCTTGCTTAAGGCGTTACTCTGTTTTTAACTTAATACTCTAGATGCATGCTGGATAGCGGTCGATGAGTGGAGTAATAGTAGTAGATGCAGAATCGTTTCGATCTACTTGTCATGGACGTGATGCCTATATACATGATCATACCTAGATAACCTCATAATTATGCTCAATTCTGTCAATTGCTCAACAATAATTTGTTCACCCACCGTAGAATATCTATGCTCTTGAGAGAAGCCACTACTGAAACCTACGGCCCCGGGGTCTATTCTCATCATATCAATCTCCATCACTTTATTTACTTGCTTTGCTTTTACTGCTTACTTTGCATCTTTATACCAAAAATACCAAAAATATTATCTCTATAAGATCTCACTCTCGTAAGTGACCGTGAAGGGATTGACAACCCCTAATCGCGTTGGTTGCGAGTAGCTATCGTTTTGTGCAGGTATGAGGGACTTGCGCGTGGCCTCCTACTGGATTGATACCTTGGTTCTCAAAAACTGAGGGAAATACTTACGCTACTGTGATGCATCATCCTCTCCTCTTCGGGGAAAACCAACGCAAGCTCAAGACGTAGCAAGAAGGATTTCTGGCGCCGTTTCCGGGGAGGTCTACGCATAAGTCAACATACCAAGTACCCATCACAATCCCTATCTCTCGCATTACATTATTTGCCATTTGCCTCTCGTTTTCCTCTCCCCCACTTCACCCTTGCCGTTTTATTCGCCCTTTCTTTGCCTTCTTCCCGTATGTATTTTTTGTGTGCCTTTTATTTGCTTGCATCTTTGCTTGCTAAAAATCTATTGATATGGACCCACTTAAAGTGTTCTACTTGGATCATCTTCGATCCTTATGCGCTCGTGCTGAAACCCCAACTAGCCTAATTGATGGGAAATCTTTAGATGAGCATGCTCATTATGTGCATCACCGTTTGTCTGAAAAAAGGAGACTCTTATGGAGTCAAATAAACAGATTGTTGTGTTATGCTTGGAATCTTTGTGAAATTTATGATTTTACTTGTTGCTCTAAGAACCCTAAAAAACACATTCCTTGCCTATGTGAGTTTAATGAAAATGAAATCTTATCTTCTTATGCAAAGGGTGTTTATAGGTACTATGATATCGAACAAATTGAAGAATTTGTTGCTTTTAAGGGTGCTTATGAAGTTGCTTCATTGATTGAAAAGTATGATATTACTCTCTACGAATTTGAAAATTTTGACATACTTAAATATTGCTATGAAAACTATGCTCATAATGTCTATGTCGAAGAATTTATTGAGAGAATGACCGTTGCTTTGGAAGGAAATAATGATATGCATGAATCTATAGATAATGATGATTCCGATGATTTGATTGAAATATCCCTTGATGAACATGATGCTTGCTATTCTTGTGGCCATGATGCCAATATTTATGAAGATGAATTTGCTATAGTTTCTTATGTTAAACATGAGATTGTTGCTATTGCACCCATACTTGGTAGTTCCTTCGATGAAAAGCATGATTGCAATGATTTTACTATAAATTCTCTTGATGTCAATCATGCTAATAATATGCAAAACCCTAAGCTTGGGGATGCTAGTTTTGCTGTGTCTACTACTTGTTGCAATGATCATGATTGGGGCGATTCTTCTTTTGATCTTGAAAATTTATTTAAGCCCCGTGATGAATATGAGATTGATAATAGTGTTTGCAATAATATTGAAAGTGGATTTGGAAGAGTGTCAACTTTAGATCCCACATATTTGGAGAATATTCAATCTTATGAAATTTCTGATAAAAGTGGGCTTGGAGAAATCATGACTTTAGTTAATATTAATCCCACTATTTCGGAAGAGTGTCAACTTCGCATGCATGTGGATCGTGTTGAGAATATGTTATGTGATAGCTATATTGTTTAATTTTCTTATGATCCTACATGTAATTATTATGAGAGAGGAAAATATGGTTATAGAAATTTTCGTGTTACTAAATTACCTCTCGTCATGTTGAGATTGCTATCGTCTCTTTCTTATTCCTTGCATATGCTAGTTTTTGTTTGCCTTGAAAATGTGTTTGCTTATAATATGCCTATGCATAGGAAGTATGTTAGACTTAGATGTGTTTGTCACGTGTTTCATGATGATCTTTTTGCGCTTCAAGTCTTGTCTTTCATGTGAGCATCATTGAAATCTCAATGCCTAGCTAGGGGCGTTAAACGATAGCGCTT